AATCTTCAGATCCCTGGTACCAAAAAAAAAAAAAAAAAAAAAGCATCTTCAGGCCAGAGGCGGGAGGGTTGCTGTGAATTCAAGGTCTCGAAAAACCTAAAAAGAAAAATACTTCTTGTTAGTGATTTAATCTGATCACAGCCAGTTACACACAAGAAGGAAATGACTGGATCAAAGTTCTTAGAAAGTGCCAGGATGGAGAAGACATGATTGGCCTCATTTCCTCCTCACTGTATGAGGAATGGGAAGTGGGAAAGAAGCTGGGGCCGCTATCACTATCTTGCTACTCTGCACATCGCTGCTGCTGCCCGTAGATGTGATTGCCATCTCTGCCTTAGGGAGACGTGGGACTCGGTCAGGAGGGCAGGTGAAGGAGCCAGGATTCTAACCTAGACCTAAACTGTATGGCCATGCTTTCAGAATAATTTTCCTTAGCAATCAAAGTTTATAAAGTATTTGGCTGAAGGTTACTTAAGTATTTGATTTAGCTACTGAAGGTTTTTATCATATTTAAAAGAAAAATGTATAGTGAATACATGAAAAAGCAGAACTGAATAGTGAATCTTTCTAGTTATCAGTTATATCAACTATCAATTCATAGATGATCTCATTTTATCTACATCCATTTATTCCCCTCATTATTTTGAAGCAGTATTTAGAATCATGCAGTATTTAGAAACATACAATTTCACCTGTAAATATCTTAGTGTTTATCTCTGGAGGATAAGTACTAAAACATAACCATAATATTATTAGGACACCTGAAAATTAAACAGCCATTCTTTTTAACGTAATTAGATTTTCAGTCGTTTAAAAAAAATTTCCAGTTGTCTTGCTATTATTTGTACAGTTTGATTAACTCAATCCAATAAAATGTGTGTGTTGGAGAGTTCGATCCCCGGTATCAAAAAAAAAAAAAATGTGTGTGTTGGAGTTAGATTTCCAGTTTATAGGTTTACATTATATTTATGCTCTTTACCCCTTGCAGTTTATTTGGTGAAAAAAAAAACCAGGTCACTTCTCCCAGGGTTTTCCAGTCTGGATTTTGCTCATTGCATGCTCTGATGCCCTTTAGCAGGTTCCTTTGTCCCCAGTATTTTCTAGAAATTTCCTGGAAATTAGCTAGATGGAGAGCAGGTTTCTTAGCTTGGGCACTGGTGACATTTGGGGCTGGACACTTCTTACTATGTGGGGCTGCTTTGTGCACTGTGGAGTGTCCAGTGCTGTCCTGGCCTGTGTGCCCTAGCAGCCAGGTGCACCTCAGCGGGGACAGCTCAGAACGTCTGCTGACGTTGTCAAGGGTCCTCTGGGGGCAGAATCACCCCCTCTTCTGCTCCAGTTAAAAATGACAAATCTAGAGCCTTGAACAGATCATGGACTTTTTGAGGAAGGGGCTTCATCCAGGCAAAATGACTGTATGTAAGGATGTGTATCTCCAGTAGAAGGCACACAACACCTCTGCCTGCCTGCCTGTGTGTCTGTCTGTTGCTCTCTCTGATGTTAGCAGCCATTGATAATCACTGCAGAGATCCATTTAGTCAGTGGGGCTTAGCTACTTTAAATGTCACTTTAGACACAGAGGACTGAGACTTAACCGGAAAACAGTATACTTCACACTGTTTCTGCAGTTTTAGTGCATAGCAGTCAGTACTTGCAGACAAATTGAGAACCATCCTGTGAATGACTTGTTTCTCTGTTTCTTAGAAATAAGATTGTTTAAAGCAATGGGTCTTAATATAAGAGGCACCTAGAAACCATTTATTGATAGTAACAGGTGTTGGAAATCAGTAGAACTTATTTTCCCCCATCCCCTGATATTTGAAAGGATCAGGAGGCTTGATCCAGTAATTCATGGCCCCGCCTGTCAGACCAGACCCCTAGGTTATGGTCCCTACCCTTTCAACCTTCTAACTCAAGACATGGAGCTCTAAAACAGAGCACCTTGTGTCCATTCCAGGCATTCCTTTCCACAACAAAGCCTGGTGTGTAAGAGTCTTCCCCAGGGAGGCAGGGAGAGGGGAGGGAAGAGAATGGATGAGATGAAGAGGAAGGCCAGGGGATTAAGGTTCCTGTAAAATGACCATCTTTGAAATAAATATGTTGTGGCATGGGAGATTTTTATTGTGTTAGCCTTTTCACCTGCTATATTTTTATGTTATTAAAGTACTTCTGGTTATTCTACAGCTTGAGAAATGTTTCTGAATATATATATA